CGGAGCTGCTCTGGAGCTTATGGCTCAACTTTGCCAACTGTGCAAACCCCTACCCAGACCCCTGGGCGGATCTAGAAAGTAGAACCCCCTTAAGGGTTCCTAGGAATTACCCAATAGTAGTATAGGGTACCAAATTGGGGGTTCTACTTTCTAGATCCTCCCAGGGGTCTGGGATACTTAGCAGAGAGGGAAAGGTTTAGAGTTTAGGGTTCGGGGCTTTACCATGTCCAGTCCTAGCCTGACAATGAATGAGGGTTATATTGGGATAATGGAAAAGAACATGGAAACTCTACATTTATAGGGTTTTTATGGGTTATGTAGGGGATATATTGGGGTTATGTTGGGATAATGGAAAAGAAAATGGAAACGACTATTAGTCGCAGTTCTTATGGTCCGAACTGTCACACAACACTCTTGGACGCTGTCGAAAACCTACATACTGTCTGCCTGACAGCCCACCTGCTCCGACCCTTCCACGTTTCCTAGGCAAAGTTGTCTGATTGCAAAATTACACAGCTTTGCATGTCTGTTCACCATCATTGCTTTTGTCAGGCGGTCTTTTCAACGTCGTCTCCTGCACATGCTCCGTTCTTGTTGCTGCCTGTCTCTGGGGTCATTTCGGAACAAACCCCAAACACAATAACCACTTCAACCCTTGCGACTCAGGAAGAGCGCCAGAGGGTCCTCGCAAGGCAAGTATGCGAAGATGTCCTCCACAGTCTCCACCGGCAGCCTGGGCTGCAGCTGGCTGAGGGGGCCTAGGATCCTTGAGCACCGAAGTCACTCATGGTCACCATGCCGCTGTGTTTAAGATTTACCGCAAGGCTTAGGGTTTGGGATGAAAGAAGACACGGCAGCCGTCGCAGTTTAATATATGAGCAAACGAAGCATAGTCCTCATATTTGGGGCTTCAAGTGCTTTAGGGCCATCAGGGGTCCTGCGCCGCTGTATGGGGTCTCCAAACCTGGCTAGCAACTGTCCACTTGGATTGTCAGGGGCGGGGCTTCTGAAGGGCCTGTATGCTAATCCCTAAATCCAAAGCCCTAGGCCCTAGACTCCAGACAAGTCCTAAACCCTGATCAGACAATTTGCTTACCCCCCCTCAACCCTAAACCCCAAATAAATGAATATCAATAAATAGTCCCCCCCTAAGTAGATAGAATATGGGGTATATGGGGATCTTATTATAATGTACACAAAGCCATATTCTATGTACTCAAGCCTGACTATATCCCTAACCCTAAACTCTGAACCCCAGACCCTAAAGCCTAAGCCCCAAACCCCAAACCCCAAACCCTTAACTCATATATCATACTTATAGCATTGAAAAGCGCTTTCAGGTGAAAGCAACAACATGACATCTTCCCGCCAGCCTGGCGAAATAGCCGCTGCCAGAGGGGAGTGCCTTCGCTATAGACTGCTTGGGGTGTAGCGGTTTAGGATTTGGGGAGTTTAGGGTTTAGGGGTTTAGGATTTGAGGGTTTCAGGGCTTTGGGGTTTAGGATTTGTTGTTAGGGGTTTAGCGTCCAGGGGTTTAGGATTTGGGGATTCTAGGGCTTAAGGAGCTTTGAAAATTTTTGGACTGGGGAGTTTGGGGTTGAAGTGCAACAATGCTGGCAAGCTCAGGACCGCATGGAATACGTGAGGATTTCAAGACTTCAATGAGTTTGAGGCGTGTTTGCGAACAAGAGGATTCTGGTGAAACCTCAAATTAGGGCCCTTTGAGTATCGTATGATTCTGAGTATAGCGTGGTCCTCATGAAGCGGGTGGGAGAACTAGAATCCTGTTCTGGTTCAGCAGCCAACGCATTTCTTCGTTTCGGTAGTACAAGCAATGATAGCAGCCATGGAAAGGCGTTTGGAAGTTTGGGTTTCATGCTTCGAGGCAGGCTTCTAGGTGACGAAGAAACTGAGTTATAACTGGGTGATAACTTACGGTCCTTTAGAATTGTGATCATAGATAACCCAAGTGTTGCCTGACATATCTACCTAGCAATCAAGGTTTAGGGCTGCAGATAGTCGAGCCCGACAGCAGCCCCGCCCCGCCTAGTCAGCCTGCACCGCAGTGAACAAGGCTACACTGAGTGGACCGAAGTATTTAAAACAATAGCCTGACCTTTCGGCTTCCGGCCTAAATTTACCCATACTTGCGGTCCAGGTAGAAGAATGGCTTACGGAGTTTGGCCTTAAGTTTCAAGTTCTTAGTTCCTGCCCATTGCTCGCATGATGGAGAGCTGGATGGGCTACCAAGCAGTGCTATGTAACAGCAAACGTGATGAAGGACTTCCTCTGCCAGAGTCACACAATCCTTGCTTAGGCTTCGTCAGATGTACAGCTAGTGGCCCGCTCTGCTCTTGTTTCTCTCATGTCTCTTTTATATGCGCCATACAGAAAGAGAGAGCATTCAAAGCCGAGGTACATCGTACAGTTCGTCAGGCGCGGTGCTGGCCCACGCTCGTTTTGTCTTCTGCAATGCTGCCAATCTGATCACAGGTCATCATTTTATCAGGCTAGGCCCCGCAAGCATTACTAGTGACCACAACGGATACGGGCCATTCTGCACCACGTATTATTTGATTGGTGGGGGCTTAACCTAAATTGCCAGCATTTGTCAGTGCGAGCCTCCCTGTTGCTGAAATAGTCAAAAAATAGCGGCCTATGGCGCCCTTTCAACAGGGTTTAGGGTCCAGGGTTTAGGGTTCAACCCTTGCACCCTACACCTTTAGCCGCGTTTCATTCTCCCTGCCAGGGCAGCTGGTACAGCTGGGAATCCCATCCGGATTGGGAACAAGGCACCTAAACTCAGTTTGACTTCCTGACTGTTCAGGGGCTAGGGTTTAGTGAATCAATTGGAAAAGAAAACGGGAAATTAAATGGAAACTACTATTATATACATGGAATATATAAGGATTAGATAGCAATACTCCCCCAATATATAGTGGAGAATCCAATGGAAGATGACACGGAACATAACATGGAAACTGGGGTTTAGAGGGACACCCTGTGCCCTAAAGGCTTACAACCCTAAACCTTGGAACCCAAAATTCCAAACCCTAGACCCTCCACCCTAAAAACTGGGGTTTATACTGGCTAAGGGTTTAGGGTTTAGGTTCTGGGACAGTAGAGAATGAAGAAACCGTTGAAACGAGGAATGGAAGCCATTGCTTTCACGTCTATTGAGGACTTTGTCAAAACGGAAAGAAAAGGGAGACCACGGTATCATGAGGGATGTGTCGGGGCTACTACTGGGCTCCATTCTTCCATTCCCTGCGCACAACCAGCAAGCTTGGGAAAGCATGTCGTGAAGTTTTTGTTTTTGAGGCCAGGGTTCAGGGTTCGCGTTACGGCTTTTGGGGTTTTGGTTAAAATCGTAGTATATCCCTAAATAGGTCCCCCAAAAACCCCATATAGTCCCCTATAGGTCCCCCCCAACCTAAATTCAGTCGGTAGCTCATTTAAGGTGGTAGGACTGAAAGGAGTCAGGGCTTGAGGTGGTAGAGTTTAGGTGGGCTTCCACCAAGGTCTGAGGGTTAGTTTTGGCTTCAGGTTGGAGGTTTAGTGTAATATATTATAGTCTATTATAGTTTCTTACAGTATATATTATAGCATATTATAGTATAACATGATATTATAGTCTTCCGTTTTTAGAGTTTTGAGGTTGTGGGGGATCCCAGGCCTAGTCCCCCCCAAAATTGAATAGTTTAGGGTTTAGGGAGAGGGCCTTGTAGTTGGCAAGGGGTTGCCCTAAGAGGCTTGAGGCTTTTTGGGTTCCGTCTTGTAATGAGAACGCGGAGTTCAGTGAAGATGAGCTTTATGCAGTACATGGAGAGTCAGGGAAACTTAGTAAGTAGGCCTAAAAATTAGTATATGAGCCATAGTCTAAGCTTCTTGAAGGGGGGTTACATAAGAGATGATGTAGGGAACTACTACAGGGATTATTCAGGGGGTGCTAGGAGTTTAGACTACAGCATATGGCTTGCAGGGGTTATTAGCCTATTTACTCGGTCCCCCTCGTCACTTGGATCTGCACATGCAACATCCCAAGCCACCAACTTCCCCCCGAACTAAGTTGGAATCCCAATACAGGCTTCATCAGCATAACAGCGGTGGAAACCCTAAGCCCTAAACCCTAAACGCTAAGCCCTAAACCCCAAAACCTAAGCCCCAAACCCTAAACCCTAAGCCCTAAACCCCAAAACTAAGCCCAAAACCCTAAACCCTAAGCCCTAAACCCCAAAACCTAAGCCCTAAACCCTAAACCCTAAACCCTAAGCCCTAAACCCTAAACCCTAAGCCCTAAACCCTCCATGCTTGTTTTCAGGAGTGGACTCTGCTAGGAGGCTTAAGGCCCTACAGAAATAGCAGCGTGAAACATGCACGGTGCCAAACTCTTTCCCAGACCCTTGGGCGGATCTAGAAAGTAGATCCCCCTTAAGGGTTCCTAGGAATTACCCAATAGTAGTATAGGGTACCAAATTGGGGGTTCTACTTTCTAGATCCTCCCAGGGGTCTGGGTTTAAAGAGTAATAATAGTAGCAACAGAAACAATATTAGCAGTAATGCAAGTAATGGTAATAAAAATAATAGTAATAGCAATAATCGTAATATTAGAAATTATAACAGCAAAAATAGTACTGGTAATATTAGCAATAAAAATAGTGCATGGCTGGGGCGTGTGTACAAGCCCCCGACGCATCCCTGTCGTTTTAGGGTACCCCTTACGCCCTAAACAGGAAGCCATTCCAACTTCTCAAACCCTGCCCAAATCAGGTCATGCTAAACCACGCTGGTGGCTGGACCTCATCTTCTGTCGGCTTCTCCCAAGGCGCCACTTGGAGGTTTGGGATACGGTGGTGTAAGCTCGGAGCAGAAGATTCCTGAAGAAATCCCCTCAAAAGCCGGTGACAGGTTCCTTCAACATTCTTGTCCTAAGCTCTACGCCGTTGGTAGTTGGAGCTTTGTACCGTTGCTGAAGTGAGGCTGGCTGGAAGACCCTAAACAATTAGATCTCTGGGGTCTTGCTAGTTCATCTTCTGAATAGCTCTCAAACCCTCAAGCCTGAAAGTCCCAAACCCTCAACCGTACATGATAATAGTGCAATTCGTGATGATGACAACCAGATAGAAGGATAGAGGTAGCACCCGATGATTTAGAAAGCATCATCACATTGCTACAGTACCGCTCCTACCCCAACATACCCCGAATATAACCCCAATATAACCCGAATATAGCCCCAATACCACCCTAAGATAACCGTAATATAACCTCAAAATTTTCCCAACATGCCCTAAACCGCTAATAATAACCCCAAGCCCTAAACCGCTAATAAAGGAAAGAGTTTACCCTGCCATCCAGAGGCGTGGAAACCAACAGGCCAGCCGACGACACGGAGCAGGCTGGCATCAGGTTTACGGTTAAGGGTTTAGGG